CGTGCGCCGCCTTTCGCAGGTCTAGGTTACCTGTGGTTGGCGTGGCGAGAAGGCGGCTTCAGGGCGGCCTTGGCTTGGCGGCGCGAGGCTGCGCAATTGTACAGTATGAAGAAAACCCTGTTCGGTACATGAGATGGCCGAGTTGAATTTTCCTCGAAAATCCTTCCAGCGTTTGACGAACAGCCCCAGCTTCGCAACGTGGGCGGCATGCTGGGAATCCATCTCGAGGTGGGGACAGCTCCAGACCGCCCAGGTCAAGGCGCTGGTGGGTTCGGGTCAATAGATGCAGGGCGCTGAGGAAGCCTGGGGTGGATTTCTATCCTTGTCCTGTCATTGCCCCAAGGCCGCTCCGTCGACGGGTACAGCTGAAAGCGCTTTGACAATGCAAGCCTGGCGGGAGCATGATGCCGGTCGGGAGTGATGCCGCGTTGGGAATATATCGTGCGCCCCCGGAGGCGGAACGGCGGCCAAGTGGAAGGAAAGATTATCTTATTAGTCCAAGTTGGCTTCGGTGAGCTGTGAGCGCCAGAGTGCCCGCCAGCCAACGCGTCCCTCTTGCTTGCGGCAAAGTTCATGCGTGGCATTGGATTGCACGCATAAAGCTGTAAATTGGGGCCGGTCCAGATGTCTTCTGCCTCTATACCACAGTATTATTATCACACCGTGTTGAATTGAATCATGACATGGGCGATCACAACTTGTTGGACTGTAACGTGAGCGGTGCCCGACCCGACGTCGGCAGCGACATGGATGACCACAGCTCGCCGATCATTGAGCCGTCGCCCCGGTGGCAGCTGATGGGATCCTGTTCCTGACGAATGAGACAGGGGCCATTCTATTTCACGCATGCTCTCACACGGCGGCGGTATTGACGCCGTCGCCAAGCGGGTGTCATTTCACGTGTGTTGTGGATACCATCGAACCGCGCACAAGGTGGACACACCCGCCTGGGGTGCATGCTGCACGAGGGGAAAGGTTGAAGGACGGAGTGGTCGATGTGAAATTACGCATCGCAACATGGGGTTGGTGCCATGGGCATCTAAGTTGATGAGTCCTCTGGGTGCGGAGGGACAGCAAGAGATTAGTCTGCTCTGCTGCAACGTTGGTAAGGAAGGGCGGGAACCGGTGTTCTGTCAGCGTTGCATCGCATCGAAGGTGATCGGATTTTCTCTTGATCAGCCGGTGTCAACAACCTTGTCTAGCTGTCATCTTCTGGCCCACAGATGGCCCGGCAAACCGCTGTAGCCGACGGGTGTGAAGGATCGAAAGGGGCATTGGTCGCTGTCCGATCCTCTCTTCTTGCCACGGCTTGAAGGGAGAGAGGGGTGGCTTGGGTGCCCTGGCGGCCTGAGTGGTGGGTGAAGAAATCTGCGCGTGCAATGCGTGCTCCCCAGATCCAATTGTGCGCCGCGAACGATAGTTTGCCTTTTTGGGAGTTACCGGTGGTAGAAGTGAGGAGGGCAGACATGTATGTGCATGGGACAATGCTGTCCAATGGACCAGCTAGACGTTAGACCGGTCGGTTGACCGTATCGCCCAGTCATGCTGATCTTTGCAAGCTGCAATACAGAGTAGGCGGCGCTATTGATGTGATACTGCGGGGCTGCTTGAGAAGGTCGCAAGGTCGATATCGAGAACGATGAATGTGGGCCGCAGGTGGGTCAGGCCCAGATTAATTGGCATGTTGACTGCTTGAGTGGTTCTCCCGCCGAATAGAGTTGCGCTCTCGCATCGATCAATCAACCACCGGAGACCCAGAGGCAGTGAGACATAGTCAAGACCAACAGACAGATGGCAGAGAGGCAGAGACAGAAGGGCACAGCCAAAAGCCAAGCGCCACCCCCATGCCACTACCGGTGTCAGGCAAGATGTCACGCTGCAGCCATCAATGTCCTGCAGGAACTACTATCCGTGGCCCCGCCGAGAGGGCACCCACACGAGACCTGAGGGTCCCTCGAAGCTCCCCCAGCGTTGGACCGCGGAGGCCCGGAAGCCGTCCCTAGTGCCGGCGTGCAGCTCTGTATCTGCTTTGTGTGGGGAGTGGCAGAGTGCTGAGGCCTGAAGCCTGAAAGGGAGGGGACCGCCCACGCTGACACGCAGCCACGCCGGGCTAGTCTAGTGTCCACTACTACTACATAGTAGCTGGGACCTGCTGGACACGGGCGTTTGTCGAGTCTAGATCCATGGCCCCGCCATGCCATACCGGTATGCCCTGTGATGGCATATCGCGCTACTCATGGGCGTCTGTCGCACTGGGTGACATCCAACGCTCTGGTCGCGACGCCTCTTGGCCTGATGAGATCTGCCTGTTGCTGGCTGCTGGGTGCTGGCTTGCTGACTGCTTCATAACGGCTGTTGATGGAGGTGTGGTGGTGGTGGTGGTGGTGGTGGTGGTGGTGGTGGCGGCAGACGGGACGGCGCAGGCACGTGTGGGTGTGGCAGGACGAAGCAAGCAGGGCAGGGCAGGTCTGGCTCCGAGGGCTGCTGCTGCTGGCAAGGTTTGGAGAGGCAGAGGGGCAGAGATGCCATCGAGCAGGCCAGAATCGAGGAGTGCAGGACTGCAGGACTGCAGGACTGCAAGGGGCGATGGTGGTCAGCATGTTGATATCGTCGGGCTCACCTGCCGAAGCGATGGATGGGCGGAAGGACAAGCCAGACAAGTAGATTGTGACGCACCTCGCCAGTGGTTCGGCTAGGCGGTTCTGCAGTGCAGTGCATTGCATGGCAGCGTGCTTGATGCAAATCAGGATTGGCAGACTGGGGCAGACTGGCTACCTGCCCTGGCGTGCAGGCGTGCAGGCGTGCAGCTTCTCCCGTGTCCCGAACGAGGGCAGTCCTGTGGTTTGTCTGCAGCCCACGCCTCGTTATTCACATTCCTTGGTTCGACCTGGCGGCAAGCCGACCCACAGGAAAGCGAAGCTGGCAACAGCTGTCGTCGTTGGTTCGTTATGGCCGATGGTTGAGTCCCATCATCGTCCCCATCTGGAGCTGTCAAGCTTCCAAGCAGCAAGCGGGTGGGTGACAGGGCGAAGAGATGACAGGTTGGAGGACCCCACATCCCACATCCCACATCGGAGCTTCAGCCGGCCAGATGCCTTGGTGCAGCGCTAGTCTGGACTGGCCTGTGTGACAAGAGGGTACGTACCACCAGGGTCAGTACGGTACGGAGTACGGAGTACGTACCCCATGTTCTCCCAACGTTGTGGTTGCCGTCCCTTCAAACTCCACAGCATCAACATACCGTCGTCAGTGACTGTATGTTGGATGGCACCTGGTGGGAAGCCTGGAAGCCCCTTCCTCATGTCAACCTTGGAAGATGTTGTGAGCCCGCAGCCCGGGCCGAAACTGCTTCTGCTCCTCCTCGTGCTCCTGCAACCGCCACCGCAGGGGCAGGTACCAAGCGAAGATATCCCAAACTCCCAAACTCCCAGGCTCCCCCTCGTCCTCCCCCTCCGCCTTCGACGACCACATCCACCATCATCTGCAAAGCTACCACGCCGGTCTGCTGATCAGGTACGCACTCGTACACACTGGCATCGGTCTGGCCTGGTCCGTTGGTCCACCGCAAAAGTCGAATACGCCTCGCACTGTCTGCCATCGATCAAGCCTCACCTCTGCTTGGCTATGGAATATGTCGCCTGCAGTCTGGCAGTTTGCAAATGCCATCTCAGCTGCCTCTGGGTCGCCAAATCGGACAGCAGTGCATTGCAGCGCAGCGCAGATATTGACACTGCACCCTCAGGGTCGCCTCATTTCGAACCTGCCGCGTCGTACCAGCCAGCAGCTGGCTGGCTTGGTTGGGTCGGCAAAACCTCAGTTCGTGTCTGTCGACATATCTGCCAGCCGGCCGGCCACCCAGCCAACAGCCAACCTAGTTCGGCCAAGCCCAGACCAGCCCGAGGGTCCTCTCCCTCTCCCTCTCAGCTCTCTTTCTCTGCATGCATGCATGCAACACGGAGCTCAATCTGGATGCATCCTTCTGCCCCTGCAGCACGGCGGCACGGCGGCACGGCACGACGTTTCGGTTGCCCGAGCCAGCAAGTATGACGCAGCTCCTCCATCTCGTCGTCTCGAATTGCCCATACCCCGTCGGTGTGCCTGCTTGCCAACACTGCTCGCCACCCGGTCAGTCTCTCATTCAGCAGCAATCACAAGTAATGTGCGCTTGGATCGGTGCTCCGCAAGAACCCATGGCTGCTTGTTGTACTGTGTACACGTTCTCGTGCCCACAACCTTCGGGCTCGGATCGGAAAGCACAAAGTCGATAGCTCGGTGGGCCTGTGGGCTCTCCTGCAGGCACTCGTGGTAGTACGCTGCGTCTGGGTGAATATTCCCCAGTCCCACGTCTCGGAACATAGGCACCACAGTGTCGCTCGCTCCCAGCAGACATACGCCATCTGGACCTGACACCCGCTCGCTTGTAGCATTGCGGCGCTGGATGCCTTCCTGGGGAGATTTCTCGGCGAAACTGCCAGGCCGGGGCAGCACACTACGACCATTAGAGCATCAGGCGCACGGCACGCAATGATTTGGGCCGGCGCATTCTCCCACTTCGGCCCCAGTCCACTGGCTGGCGCCGCGCCCGACACTGTGCCGTCCCGATACATTGCTATGGTACAGATTAAAGCACTCCGTACTCTGGCCGTTCCTGTTTCGGCCGCACAGCGTTGACCCAGGCCCTCGGGCGCGCCGTAATTGTCTGGCCGAGCTGTCATTATCGCTTGCCCAGAACGCCCCACAGGCCGGTGGGCGGAACGTACACATATGCCCTGAAGGCTGCCTTGGGAACCCCACACCACTCGTTTCGTCGATAGCCTCAAGTCACGGACATCACCCGCGCCACGGCATCTTGTACGTCTCGGGAAAGTTTCACGGTCGCATTCGGGCGCTTGACAGATTGCCGCGCTGCAGGGCGGGACAGGGTCCAGGAAAGTCGCCAAATCCTCGACACAGTATCTGCTTGCCTTCCCCAGTTTCGTCTGATGTCGTTCAAAGGGACCTGCTGATCTCATCGACTCCATTGCCAAATGATCAATGGCCACTGCATTCAATCAATACAATACATTACGCTGTGGCGGCCCTGGCCAGAGGGCGGCCGTCGCTTGATTGGCTTTTGAATTGACCTCACTTTTCGCTGCCCACCCGCTGCGCCAAGCCCGTGCACAGATCCAACAACCCCAACCTTGACATCCCTCTGACATGACATCGTACTGTCGCTGGGGTCTTGCCGCAACGTCTTTGTCATTGCCAGGCTCAGAAACTCGTCTGGGGTGTCACTGCGGCAGCTTCGTGCATTGTGCGGAATGCTCTTGAGAGAATTGGCTTTCTGCAACCAGCGGCCGGGATGCTGATATCTTTAGCAAGGCTCGGTCAACGCGCCGATCACTTAGCATGCATGGCGAAGTACTGTATGATGCACCTGGATCAGGCCTCGCAGGCAACCGACGTCCCGACCGGATTTCCTTCAGGACCCTCGGGCGCTCGATGATCTTCGACCACACTCATCGAAGAAAGCGCGCGTAACGGCGCCACAGCAGATGGGCTTCGCCTTTGTCCACGGGATACCCGCAGGCTGGACAACATGTTGGCTACCCAGGCAGCCAGGACCATGGGTTTGGGCGTTACACCGTGCCACCAGGCACGGCTGCTTCCTCGCCACGCCCAACACCCAGCCATTCCAGACTGCTGGGTTCATTCAGCACATTGCGACACATGTCAGTCACCTTCCACGCCCATGCCATGGGATCAATGCGAGCAATGCCCAGGTGCAGCCTGCCTTGCGCGCCCCGACAGCGGTTCCTCCTGGCCTGGCCCGACGCACTGGGTCTCTCTCGCCAGGCTTGGCCAAGCAGTTGGTTAGCGTACTGTGCAATTTGTCAACCGCTCAACTCTTTGTTCCTGAATCTTGTCCAGGCGATGTCTCCTTGGCATACGGCCAGAACGTCAGAACGGCTACCACTAGGTCGACGTCAGGCCCGCTAACCCTTCGTCTACCATAGAGATGGGACGACCTTGTTGTCTTCTGGCTCCTTTCCATTCCAAAAAATTGTTTCTCCGGTGATTGGCGAGAACGAGACCCACGAAACACTTTCGCCACAGCGTCTGACGGTGCCAAGCTACTGCCGTTGGGCGCCCCCACCTGTCAAACTCCGTCCACGTTTTCACGCCCTGGCCCGGGGCAATGCTAATTAATACTTGCTAGTGGACGACGGCAGCGCAACGACACAAAGAAGCTTCCGGTTCCCATCAAAGTTTGGTCGCAGGCACCCGTGTTGCGTGGCATCTAGATTCACAAATGCGTTTGATTCTAGTGAGGCGCCGCTTTTACAGGCCCCGTGGCATCGCTCGACGGCGCAAAGCCAACTAATCAGTGCGTACGATTTATACCATTGGCCACAAGCATCCGTGGAAATACAGCAGCTGCGCTGCCGACAGCCGAACTACATCTGGAAAGCTGGCCGACGACTAGTCTCTCAGCGAACCAGCCAGCCACTGCGACCTCACCCAGCGCAAATGTGTTCAGCACCCCAGGTTTGAGCCCAACTAGCGACTCGGCAGCTTGATCTACATTGCCCGCCACGATGTTTGCACGACCTGTACTCGGTCAGGTTTTGTTTCGACCCATTGGACTAATTCAGGCGCGGTCTAGCGCCGAGCAGCCCTCGTCGCATAGCGGTTTCTGTCAACCCCCGCCGGACACCGGCGATCACGCAGGTTAGAGTGGGGAATGCATCCCATCGCACACTCGATGTGACATTCTTAGCAGCCTCGAGAGTTTCGCGGAGACTGTCGGTTGTATTGAGTGCTTCTTAATATACGCATGTGCTATTCGTGGTATCTGAGCTATGTACATGGTGCTAATATCAACCCCGATGCTTTTAGGTAGACTCCGCAAACGGGAGCACTGATTGTCCTCGGAAGATTAGTGAGGCGCATATAGGAACCCCAACTGATCTACCTCGTCCCCGTCCTGACCCAAGAAGCCGACTATGCTCCAGCCATCTGGTGCTGTAAAGTCAGCACAGTCGGTGGTCTTCTTGCCGGCGCTAACAGTCTTCCCAGTGCTGGTCGTCGCCTCAATATAGAAGTTGCGTGTTTGGTTGTTGTACAGACCCTGGCAAACTGTTGCCTTAGTCCAGTACTCACCAGCACCTAGCGTCAGGCTCGCCTCAGTGCCGCCCGTGCCGCCATGGGTAAGGCTGGTGCCACTACTCAGTGTCACGCCTACGCTGTCGAGCCTGTTAGCACCCCTGAAGGTGAGCTTGGACACGACAGGCTTTGAGATGTTGGCCAGCGCGCCGACGTCGCTGAACCAAGTGCCGTGCGGCCCTCCCCAGTAGGCCGACTGCCGCAAGCTAGTGCCCGCGGTCCAGGTGAAGTTGACGTTGACGGGATTGTGGTCCGAGAGAATGCTGCCGTTGGGCTGCAGGAACCACTCACCAACATACATGAAGCTAGTGGCGTCGAGCGTGGCGAGCGGCGAGGAGCGGTAGAAGACCTTGTCCACGGTCTCACATGTGTTGTTGTCGGATGACTGCGGGTTTACGCACAGAGTCTCCTGAGTCGGCACGACTCCATTGCGTGCATGCTGCACCCAGGCGTCTGTGAAGCCGGCGTCGAGCAGCGTGCGCACCGCTGTGTCCAGGACTCTACTGTAGCGCGAGTTTGTATCGCCAAAGATAACAACAGCATTGCCAGCCGAGTTTGCCTCGGCGAAAGCCAACACCTGGTTGATGTTGGAGTTGCGGGCCGTCTCATCGGCGTCGGTGGTACCGGCGTCGGCGTGCAGGTTGTAGAAGTCGGCGTAGACGGCGGAGGAATTGTCCGTTGCCGCAGCAATCTGCATTCTCATGAAGGTAAAACCCTTGGGCGTGAGACAGTCCGCGCTGTCGGTGTTGCTGCAAGTGTTCCACTTGGTGCGCGTCAAGTCCACCCATGGGTAGTTGGCCAGGGTGTTGAGCCCGGACCCGAACGGCACGCCGCCCGAGGTCGCGGTCCTGTACGGGTGGTTGTCCGTCTCGTACACGGCCGCGTGATAGTTGAAATCCTCCTGCACGTGGATGACGTCGAAAGCATATTGGGCAAAGTAACCGCCGATCAACTTTGAGTTCACCTCCTTGTCACCCGGCACGTCGTTGCCCTGCAGGAACTGCGGCAGGCCTGCGACGTTCATGGTCAGGACGGAGAGGTCGCCGGCCGTCGGCGCTGGTGACTGCGCGGCGACCGTCTTGGCGAGGAGCAGGCCCGCTGCCGCGGCTGCTGTCCTCAGGGATGCTGCCATCTTTGTTTTGGAATTGTGGCAGCTGTTTCGGGGACTGGTGAAGGGGGACAGGCTGACAACGATCGTGTCTTGATGGCACCGGGGCGAATGAATGTGTGCGCCTTGAGATGAACGAGTGCACCTCTCTGGACGACGAACAGCAGGCGAACTTTATTACCTCGCCCTTGATGCGCCACGTCTTCGGCTTCTTTGTGGTACCCGAAGTCGCAGGGGAGACGGCGACGAGGCTGCTGGGCTGAGCGCTCGACCTGCGCCTTCGTTCTATCACCAGGTTGGATTGGATACGCTGCGATCCGCCTGATCCTCCATCGATAGCCAATTTGCCCCAGGTGCCATATCTGCGACACTGTCGATCTATATATGGGCTTCTACAACGCGATGTTGCGGCGCCCCGCCTCCATGCCATGAGTCGTCATGAACCATTGGGGCTGCACGTGGGCACCGCTCAAAGAGGGGGCAGGAAATTGGGACTGCCTTGGTCGGTGTGCACTCAATCAATATCAGTCTCGTCTTCGGCTACCGACCAAGTTACGGTGGTGGTTGAGGAGCGTGGACGGGCCACCAAGAAATGATAGGCCGAACTATTGGCCTGTGAGCCCCCGATACCTGCCTCTTCCGGCGGGCAGGCCTCGGGGCCATAGGCGGAGTCGGGAGTGGTCGCCCGGCACGATGTCACCGATGCGGGCGGAAAACTCCATTTCCATTTGGACGCCTTGACGCCTTGCTCGGCCGACTCTTCCTGATCGCTATTCACGCACGTGCGGATTCGATGCTGAACACCTGTGGGCAATTCCTACAGTTGGCTGCCGCTGTATTAACCACTTCCGGTCTTTGTAGCCAACAGTTCAGTTCTGGAGCACATGCTGAAGCCTCCGCGGATTGGTGAGGGTCGCGCCCGGCCCAACTTGGCTCAAACTATGCTGGACTTGTTGCACTTGGAGAAATCTCGATTTCTGCTGATGGTTGTCTTGTCTCTCACGCCATCGCATGCCCGCCCGTTGCCCCCAAATACCCCGTCCCGCCCTCTAAACCCAATCGCAATAGCTCCTCGCCCATCCACGTGCAGACAGGTGGATGGACAGAGTTTCGCGATCTTCGGCCTATGCCTTGTGAAGGTTTGAACCTTATACGATGGCTATTCTTGGCGGGCCTACTCTATCCGACACCACCTCTCCCTGCTGTCTGTCCAAGCTATCTTCCCTGCCGCAGGATGCGGTTTTTTTTTTTCAGACGTCAAGGGCCAACTCTGGGTGCCTAGTCCAGATTTGAGGCTCTGAAACGTCTTGCTGCAGTCGATCATGGAAGCGTTCTAGAAAGTGCAGTAGTGGCCGTTGCTTATGCGAAGTTCCCAAGATCTGTCTCCGGGTCGGCGATTCTGGCCGAGAGCTTGTCCTAGGGCCTCTTTGCTAGCTTGGCCCAACTTTAGAACGTTGTCGCCGTCAGAACAAGCTACCCGCGGAAGGTGGATCAAGCATCCGGGGAGGGTGTCCGGGAAAGACGGCAGCAGCTGACACCAACGGGGCTGATCTGCCCTGTTTGTTACCGACTGACTCACGGCGCATGTCGGCGCATAATTCGCGCTGGATGTTACATGGGTAAGCGACGACAGGCGCGGCGGATACATTAGTATGCGGATGGCGGACATGGCGACATGGCGACACTGGCCACCATGTGATTTTTCCTTCCCCTGGCGGTGCCTTGCGCAAGAGAGCAAGATGGATACATGCTTCTTGCTTGCAGAGGACAGACAGCAAGACGCACGTTTCGCAGCGACGTGCTGTTTCAACTTGACCTTGGTGGTGTGCTGCCTCTGCTCAAGCCTCCCCAGTCCGTAGGTAAGGCTGGCGGTGGTGTAGCTGGTCGGCTGGCTGTGATCAAGATTTCTCAGGCGGTGGTGTGGTGCTATCTACCCACGTGAGACTGGGAGCGGCCTGTATCGCGCACGACAACACAACATAACACAACGAACGGGGTGGCGACAGTCACTTAGTCGACAAGAATCATCGTGGTCTCTCTCGAAACGGCCGGTTTTGCCATGCCTCACCTCTTTCTCTTTCTTTCTTTTCTGGTTCTCTATTTTGCCTGCGGTACGGTACACAGTGCGGCCCCGAGGGCGAGGGCTGCAGAGCCCCGATCTGCTGCATGAGAGATCATACCGTACCTGTTTCGAACCGGACAACCCTCGCTGGCGCACGGCCGTTTCTGGTGTGCGTGTGGAGGGCTACCCACGCACACGCACATCCACACCCACCCACATACATACACACATGCGCCTTCCGACGATGGGAACCTGGAGGGGAGGGGAGGGAGGCTGGGGGGCATCGTCGTCGTCAACCTGGCAACCGTCGACGTTCCGCACGGCTCGTCCTTGGTGGGGGCGAGGCGAGGACCCTGGTGGCCGACCGACTAACTGTCCTTGCGCGCACTTCTCAACTAACTGGCTTGACTGGCTGACTGGGTTGGTTGTGGTGTTGTGATGTAGGTATGTACTTGAATATCGGACGTTAACGTCATATTTACGCCGAAGCTGGCACCCCTCCTCATCCGTACGAAGACCCTGGTTTTGCGACTCATGCGACGAGCGCTGGTTGATAATCCTGTGGTGCACTCGATTACTTGCGAGTTGATACCGCGTACGGAGTATCTCCATGGCGGACTGGGCTCTTCCACGTTGCCATCGCCAAATGTCTACGTGCTACACTTGTGTGCGGGCCGTCTCGAGTCTACGCGGGACAGAGGCTAAATGGCCAAGTGACAGCTACCCGACTGCTGCGACGCACACAAACCCAACCCACACGGGCACACGTTGATGTCGGCACATGGTGAGGTCGTGTGGTTGCATCGTGGAAGCATGCTTGAGGCTCGTCCCTCCTCTGAGCGCGGTGGTATGTATGTGTGTACGGAGCACAGAAACCTGCACGCAATGGCAGCACTGTTGCGATAGGAGGCTTGGGCCGCTTGGCTGTTACTCTGTAGCCTTTCTTCAGATGTTGTCTTTCCCCCTGGAGACGAGAGCGACGACACGCATACTGACTGGATGGTTGAGTTGGTGTAGGATGGAAACAAGTGACTCGGGGCAAATCATCATTGTGAAATGTGCCCCGTGCCCCTCGATGCGAATCATAGTTGTCGCCCACACACGCATGCGCGGAGCACACCTCCACGTGCATCGTGATCGCGTCCTGCATGCATACCCGGGTGCATATCTTGTTTTGGTCTCTCTGTCTCTGTCCCTACTGTATACTGTACATGCATTCCTGCTCTTTTGCGCTCGCGCTCGCCTTCAAACCCATGGGCCGAGTCACCGGCTCTGGCTGGACCCGTCGCCGAGGTGCCATCAGTTTGAAGCGGCCGGATGAGGGGGGGTATGGCACAGTGGCATCACCCGTTTTCCGTTCTTTCTCGTCGTCGTCCCATGGATCGCCTCTGCGCCGTTGGCTTCTTAGGGCGGGCCACCCAGTTCATGCATGCATGCAGGCACGCCTTGGACGGTATTTAGGTAGGTCCCCCCGGCGAGCCGGAACACGGCTGCGATCTGGTTATGGGCTTGGATTGATTTGTCAAGCTGGGTTTCCTTGTATGTGCTTCCTTCCCCCTCTACGCATTGTCTGTCTGTCTGTCTGTCTGGGCTGGGCTTGTCACGTGGTGTGTGGTCATCCATCCCCGGATGCATGTGTCATTTTATCGGACTGGGACCACTTGACCTTTCGTCGCAACTATTCAACTGCGTGCTGGGTGGAAAGGGCCCTAGGGTGATGATGATGCATGGTCTGTCTAGTGTCTGTTCTGGCACGCGGAGCCGCGGTGATGGCAAGCTAGAGACTGATCTGCGGTTTGGTTTTATCATCATGTCTACGTCGGCATGACGAGGCCTATCCTCTTGTGAGTTGGCTCTGCGCGAATAGTTATGGATTTGTGCTTGTTATTCTTGGATGGTTAGGCTGCGTCATGTTTGTCTCTGGTAGATGCTATTATTACTGACACGTCCTTTTCTTCTAGTCTACTGTCTCTCGGGAATGTACGGCCGGGCCGGTTCAACGGTTCAGGTTCGAAAGGCATTAGGATTCAGGGCCCTTTGATCACTTGGGTTGAGGCGAAGCCTCCTCCGCCGCAGAGTTCATGAGAGCGGGCAGGCTCGCATGCCTCAACATTGGCATCGCACGGGACCCCACACACACATCTCTTCTGACGGGCTCATCACCACACCATGGCAGTTTCAACAAAGCCGCTGCCTCTCCCAGCATCAGCCTTACAGGCAAGAGAGTCAAGCACCGCACCTGCACGCACGAACGCATGCATGCATGGCATGACATGGTATGGCGACGACACTGCTCATCCGGAGTACACAGTACGCATCGTCAGTGCCGACTTCTCGAACGCGCCAGGGCCGTCGCGGCCGAGAAGAGACAAATCACGGCTGGTGCTGGCCGCCCGTCTCCGGGGCTAGGCAGGTTTAGCACATACAGTGCCCGGGGCTAGAGTCTCAAGGCAAGGGAGGGGAGGGGAGGGGGGGAGGGCACAGGCGAGGGCATTCCCTTCCTTCTTCCCTTCCCTTCCCCTCTCCTCTCCTGATCTTCACCCTCTGCCACCCCAACGCCCCGAGACTAGCGAACTGTCATAGCGGCACGCCGTTTGCTATATCAAGGGTCCAGACGCCTGGGCCCTCGGGTTCCCTCTTGGGGGGGGTTCACGCTAGCGGGTGGACTGGTTCTTCCCTCCTGCCTGGGCCGCTTGCGGCGGGAGCGGCGGCTCGTCCTCTGTGCCCGAGGCCCTGGGTTCGGTTTAGCTAGTTGGTAGATGGCGGTTTCAACAATAGGAGTCGGGTCTGCTGCGCTCTTCCTTGCGCTCGGCTTCGCTGTGTTGTTGCTGTTGTTCGTCCCGCCACACGGCGACCCGAGACTAAGGAGTACTTGAAAGGGAATGGGCCGGCTGGATCTACGACCCCACATGCCAGAGGCCGACGAACTCGATCTGGGGGCTTGGCCCTCGCCGGCTGGTGGGCTTGTGAGGTTCGTTGTCTAGACCATCTTTCTGTCGAGGGAAAACGTGGCAGTGCAAGGGGTGCGCTGCAGGGAGGGACTCGGCGCCGGTGGACATGCTGACGCTGTGCCAAGCCGTCAGTCACATGTGCTTCCAAGGTTGCTTGCTTGCCAGGTGCCTGCTCTTGCTGATCTCGTATGAATTGCACAATTAATCGTCGGCATCGCGGACAGTGCACGCAGAAAGGCCTCGTCTGAAGCGCAAGAAAATGCCCAAGCTCACTGGCCGAAAACAAGAAGTGTCCCTGGCCTGCCTGCGTCACTTCCCACTACTGTGTACGTAGGCATGAGGCGGATCCCCTGGCTGTTCCCACGGGGAACTGATCTGTCCCGTGACCCGGATGATCAGCCAGCTAACGTAAACACAAATAAGAAAAAAGCTCCGGCCTCCGGCCTCCCGGCCTGCTGGGGCCCCTGTCATTCGCTCGGCTGCTCGAACCGAGCCTCAGTCAGCACTTGGTCAAGTCGGCTGTAATGTCGGTGCCATGATATGCCGTAGCCTCAGGTTAGTAATTAGCTTTGGTGCCGCGGCGTTGGCATCGGGCAAATGCGAGAGTCAAAAACGGTTTGTAGGAATTTTTCGAACGGTACGCGTACCATTGCGTTCGGACGGGCAGCGGGCAGCGTGGACCCACTGTCTACAACAGCGCAAACCCTGGGAACGAAGTTGCAAGTATACCGTGTAACTAAACTTGTGAAAAGATCAGTCAGTCGCCTGGACTTTCTTAGCTGGTGCCTAGTGCACACACCCCGATCCTTGGGGATGTTGCCCTGCCATGAATCGCAAGCGAACAGGTTGCAGAGTAGTGTAGCGCAGGAAGAGGAGCTGGGCTCAATCTTCAGCATGAGTTCATTTTCCTTGCTACGCAGCCAGTAGCGTAACAAGCAGGACTCCACCGATCCGGTCTCAGTAACACCCGTCTGCCGGGCGGAGGAGCCAACTGGGCTTGCCGACAGCCCTGCAGATGCATGCCGACAACCTTATTCAGCTTCGGCTGCACGTCTGTCTGGCCAGGTTCGCTGGTGGGTGGGGCGGGATTTCTATGGATAAGGCTAAAGCACCGGATGTGTATAATGACAAGACCAGGCGAAACTTAATGGCAGCTTGCTGTATGGACTGAGGATATGACGTCTGGGCCTGGTTGTGTTCCTAACCCTCCAGTTAGTCCTCACCGCCCTGTTATAGTGCAATATGGTCTGCGATATAGGCCCTGGGGCGTAGCACTCCGGGCACAACTGTTACTGCTGCTGCGGGAGCGGCACCCTTATGTGGACCTGCTATTATCGCCGATTGGGGAAGGGATGCACACTCCCCCCCACGGAGGACCCCCTCGGTCTGTGTGAAGACATGCACGTCTTGTCCATCACAATCCGCGATAGTTTCTATCCGGCCACAGACCGACGCACGGGAGGCGGGCGATCACCCTTATTACCTTGAGCCAAATTCGGGCTCGGTTTCGGAGCTCGGGACAACCACGGAGGTTAGGAGTCAAGCATTTGCTCTTCTCCTGAGCTATACGCGCATCGAGGCATCAGACCGACACACACACACACACACATCAGACCGATTCCAACGTCGTCGATTATCTCAACGTCTCCCTCGATCATCTGAGACATGAGGCTCTTGGGTGGGTTCAGGGGACCGACGTGGTCTTGCCCCGTGGACTAACTCACGGCGCTCACTTCCAATACCGGGTGTTTCGCCCGACGGTGACAGCTGGGAACTGATCCTGTTGCGGTCATAAAACGGCCGATCCATGTGTCGTTTTTGCTTTTCCTGCATCTGCCTATAGCACAGCACATAAGGTTATGTCAGTTCTGCTATAGTCGTGCCATGCCCTCTAATCACAGATGAGGGAGGGGGGGTGGGGGGCTCGGGAAGCCCAGTCGGGCTGCCATCTTGCACGTACGGCCGAGGTGTTCGTACCATGGACCAGGTAAACCCACCGTTGCAGAAAATAGGGATGAATTCGGATTGATGCCGCGTAGAACGATGTGACTGTGTCTGCCTCCTGCAGTGTATCCTATCTGCCGTTGGGGGCTTTGAGCGTGGGCGTCTCAACGACGGCATCACATTGCATGTGGCACTGTGCAGGCGGTACAGATCACGGGATGCCTAGGTACGGATCCCCGAGATGAGGGCGATGGGCCTCACGTTGGTCAGTCCCCTGCTCTGAGTGGAGGCGAGAAAAGTGAGGCTGGCACCAAGGGTGATCTGCCTCGCAGGCGGTAGCTTGCATATTCGGAGAATAATCCTCGTGCTATCGAGATCCTGCGGAGTCTTCTCGTGTTTCTACTTCAGCTTGGTGGCTGGGCGTACACATAAACCAGGGAGAGACAGACGTTAGTAGTACAGCTCCTCATTTGACGAAGATCAGTCTTGTTCTACCCATGTCGCTGTGGTGCTCAAACCGCTGTGGAACAATGATTAGCAAACCAAGAGTCGTAGTTATCTGCCCATCAAAAGGTATTAAGGTGCTGATTGCCTCACTGATAGATGGGCTTGCAAATCCCGAACGATTCCTGATTCGCTCGTCTACAGTTTAGTTGCCACACATAGTTTCAGTTATGTACTCGTACTTTCAGTTCACATGGAAGAAATATGGTTCGAACAATTCCGTCAAAAAGGCAATTGCCTCAGAGACATTGATGAGGCAATGTCGTATCGGACTGCCCCATACCAGCAGGCGGGCGATTATGTTGCATGTTTAGGCATGAGGGCCGGCTGTTTTCAAGTCAATTAGTTCAAGTTTATCTGCCAAAGAATGCCTCGTCTGATTTCATGTCTGTTGCTTGATTTAATGACATTTGCGCGAATGGCCAAGTTCACAATGCCACCCCATTGGATCGTCAAGTGATCTGACCATTCGGACGCTTCCCAGAAATGCTTATGGTTAGAGGCTGGATCCAATAGAGACTTGATGAACCAGAGAACATGGCTCAGATGAAGACATACTAGTAATGAATCATCAAAGCTGAACTGGCTGTTTCTATTCGTAGTAAGCACCTAGGCACCTAGGCACCTAGGCACCTAGGCAGTCTAAATACTCCATATGTGCAATATGATTGTTAGGACCCAAACAAACATAAACCTTATCAACCAGCTACTTATGCAACCAGTATGAAGGCGCCATGTATGTCCCCGGATGTATATGGAATAGCAGCGAAACCATTTATGCAACCAGTCACTTTCTCGACAACAACGCGCGCTCCTGGGTAGCTATGGCGTTGCCCCTTTTGGACAATCCAAATGTTATACCGGGAATCGCAAGCGATCCATGGCCCGGGGATGTGTGTGGGGATTTGCTGTCTGGCCCCGAGGAAAGACCTACGTCGTCATTCCTCGGGGGAAAATGCAATTGCAGCATGGACTCAATTGGGACCCGGTCAACCAACCTTGTCCTGTGAGACGAAGGCGCGGGCAACCAACGCACGTTCGGACCCTCGCGGGCGCTGCCGTCGAGTTGCCTAGTAGGTAGGTGCGGCTGCCAATAGTAGGCAAGCTAAGTATGGAGGCTTCGGGTCAGGGTCCCCTATCTTTACCATCGCAGCGAGAGGAATTCGGATGTCCGTGAAAACTGGACCGTACTTTCCATCAAAACATCGGCTGAAGCAGAGTGGCGAGTCTTTCCGCAGAGCTGATTGGCGGTAGTGGACATCTGACAAAATAAAAATACACTGCCTGGCGTGGAATTCAGCAGCTGACGCGACCACGATTTGCCACTATGCTATCTATTCACTACGGCCGTGACAACGCTGTGTTGGGCTGCTTCACAACACATGATTGCCTCGTGGCCTTGTCTGCCGCGTGTGGCTTCGGACCTGTGCGGAATAGAAACGAAACCACCATGCAGTCATTGGCGGTGCCGAAAGAGGATGCGGGGTTTCAAACCCATTCTTGTTTAACTGTGGCAATTCGCCTGATAAGATCGTCAGTGCCATATTAATTCACGATGACAGATAGTTGTTTCTCAATGTCGGGAGCCGAGGATGATTGCCGACGGCCACATGGTCACTGGGACACGGGTCGGGGACAAGTCATGCCACCAACGTAACACCACTACACGTTTCAAAAGTTTTATGATATGATAATACCTAGGTAGAGCTCATGTACCTTAAGGAGTTCTAGATGATGAAGTTGTTGTTGTTATGTAGGATGTTAAGTCATGCACCATAGGTCCTGGGTGAAATTAGGAGGCTGTTTCACTGAGAGTTGATTCCTCAGGACGGTTTCCAAGGCTTTGGGGAGGGGAGAATATTGTGGTCACGTAGCGGATACCGGAGTAAGGATCCTATTATCCGAATCATATGTCAAGTTCAAAATGGTTCAGTAAATGATTCGCAAGCGCACGAGTCTAAGGGTTGAAGACAGAGGTGAGTGAGTCAATTTGGCTTCCCGCCTCCCAGTCATATTCGTAGACAAATGTAGGCTACAGAATTTCGACCATCATCCAGGCTCCGTGAAAATTGATACCTTTGGCCCGTTGCCTCATGAGTTTGGCCTTCAGAGCTTGGCTTCGCTGCGGTTCTTCGCCGAATTCCAGCCCTGATCTCTGAATCTCTTCGGCCAGATGCCCATCTTTCCTGGAGAAAGTACGCCATTGGGGTCAAGCGCGTCCTGTGTGGGTGTTTGAGTGTTAGTTGTGCCTCGAAACCATCCCACAGACGTAGGAACTGCTATCCACTACACTCGAATACTCTTACCTTGATGGTCTCAACGAATCTGCGATACGCGTGGTTGTTGAAGTCGAAAAGCTCCGCGACCTGGTCTTGGTTGAGTTAGTATCAACTGACCAAATCCGCTGGACAATGCGAGGCTTACCCATGTGGTGGATGTGAGAACGGTACTTCGCAAAACCCAGCTTCGTACCCTCCTCAAACAGCCCATTGAACACATTCTCAATGGCCTGGCGCTGCTTGGCGTTGGTCTTGTCAAAGCACAGCATGCAGACGAAGACGGCGTGGCGCTCGTGCATGAAGTAGTCACAGCAGAGGTCCAGCCCCTGGGACTCGTAGACTCTGCGGGCCGCCGTGACCCACTTCTTCATCGTCTTGCCGTCCAGCGGGACGATGGGCGAGTACGCGCCGTGGGCGCCGACCCCGCCGCCCTCCTTGGGGTTGTAGAAGTCCACCATTGGGATGGAGAACATGCTCGGGACGCCGACGAACATCCCGCCGTACGGCTGGGGCACCGACGCCGCCTCGAGCAGCTGGGCCTCCTCGCCGCCGGCAAAGAGGGTGTTCCTCAGGCGGCCCTTGGGCGCCGCCTTGGATACGACGCGCTGCACCTCGTTGTATTGCGCCTGGATGACGTCCTTGGGGCCGTAGAAGCCCCACTTGACGGTCCAGAACCCTGTGTCTAGCTCCTGCTGCATCTCCTTGATCTTCCAGTCCGGGATGGGGCCCTCGCCCGTCCAGTACTTGTGCCGCTGGCCGTAAATGGCGGACCACTCGATCAGGCTGAAGACGTAGACTATTGTCGGTAAGGTCTTGTTGCGGCGCATCTCGCCGAATAGGTCGGTTACTGGGTATTTGTTAGCCGGGATTGTTGAGCTCTACCTGGTATACAAAGAGTTCTGAACAATGGTTCAACTTATAGTGGATGAATTTCAAAACATTGACCCATCCATCGGTAGCCAGCTTGCTATTGGGATATGTAAAACGAACTTTTCGGGTTACTTACTGGTCTCAATATCGTCAAAATCGGGCATATCGAAAGTACAAGGCATATACGCCTGAGGCTGAGGTGTCATGTGGATTCCCAGTTTGGTCACAATACCAAGGTTGCTCTGAAGGAACAGCCCGTCGATAGAAGGTCCGAAGGTAAGGTGGGTCAGATGTGCTGATGGCGACGAAGTCATCGCGAATTGACCAGTGCGGACGACGTCTCCGTTGGCGAGTACTACTTCGAGCCCGGCGATGTTCTCATGGTGAATCCCAGAAGGAATGAAACCCATTCCTCGATCCAGTGTCTAGATGCAGTGAGCAAAAAGCCTTCTAAGGGTTTGATAAGGCGTGAAAAGGACATTTCTGGTACTTACATTTCCGACCACGCTACCCCAGCCTAGAGATGCGGTACTAGGCCAGACCTTGAGCTTTCTCTGTACGCAGTAGGTATAGAGATCACCAAACGTGACACCGGGCTCCACCACTGCATAGGAGAACTTCTCGTTGACCTCGAGGACTTTATTCATTCGATGGAGATCCATCACAACGGATCCATTCACGACAGGCGCAGGGCCTCCATACCTATTTCTGTATTCAGCGAAGCTCCTGAAATACCCTGATGATGCAAACTCACCCCAGGTTCTTGCCGCGGGACACCGTCCACACCGGGATCTTAAATTCATTGACCACCTTCAGAGCAGCCTGCAGTTCCTCAACCGAGGATGGACTACACGAGGACTGTTAGAGACCCCGAGTTCTCAACATTGTTTTAAATCCGAGACGCGTGTGCTCACCAGACAGCAGCCCCGGGAACCTTCCTCTCGTGCCCGCCCTCCGGGATCTCGTATGGATCTACATATTCCTTCAGCCTCTCGCCACGGAAGACGGCGTCCTCCCCGAGAGTTGCGGCGATCTGCTTCAGCGCGCTGTCGAAGTCTGCCTGAGAAACCCCCGGTGGCAGGACTTCCGGGATGCCCTGGATGATGGGCTTGTCGTAGGTGTTGTCGTGGGCGGTTTGATAGATGGGGTCCGCGTATCGAGGCTCGGCGTGTTGTGCAACCATTTTGCCCGGGGGTGTTTGTTGTGGAACGTGCGAATAGTGCAATTTGAAATGCGACGTGGTTATTTTGCTAGGGATGTTTTTATGTTGTCAATCAGGTTGGATCTCTGTAAGATGTTGGGTGTATTTGGGCACCAGACGATACCTATGTGGTCGGTACCTAGATGTATCAGTCGGTTCTCCTCACCACGGGCCTCGGAAACCCTAGGCTCAAACCGAGCATGAGCGGGAGGAGATTAACTTCGAGTGTGGCAATTGGTCAGGATGAGCTCAGCGTATGCATGCTAAAGAACCCCTCCGTTGCGCGTCTCGAATTGGCGAGTCCTACAATGCAACCTGATGACAGAGTTCTGACTTGGTATCCCCAGCCTCGATATCCGAAACTCTCTTGGTGTCTAAATCCGACGTGGCTTTGGGAAAGCTGTGACATTTTATTGAGAGCATGGTGCGGCAGCGTCAATCGGATGGACGTTTCCATGGACAAGAAGCCTTGAAGATTGCTTGAAGATCTTTGAACATATTGTCCTCAATTGTTCACTCTATCTCCTGCTTAGGTACCTACGGGTAGGTACGGAATCAGCTTAATCTCTGCCAGAACTCAATACATAGATATATGTCTGCTTTTCAACATGCGTACTAGTACTGCTGAGCAGTCTATAATAACCTCGCTCACCCTCAGGGCTTTCAACAGTAGAGAGCTCCCCGCAGGCCCTCGTCGCCGCGAAAAATAGTTCACCCGCAACCCCATGGGGAACAACCCCTTACTCAATTAGAACTCTGTTTCCCCCGCAATCCCCGCAACTACCGCACCCCATAATCAGCTCATTGACGTAGGGCGGATTTACGTAGCTATGCCTTTATGGGCAAATGAATGCTACGAGTTGCATGAAACGGAGATGAGCGGATGCTACGGGAGTTTCGGCTAAACATATTGACGCCGAGGCCTGGCGTGTGATTGATATCAGTTGCTCGATACGAGCTGCGAGCTGGTATCGAATGTGACTGAGAGTACCTGCATCGCGACTTGCAAAGCAATCTACCTCGCCCTCAGATCCACAAGTCCAATATGGTGCAAGTCAAAGAAGGATTCAAAGTGAGCCTATATGTCCACAGTGGTGAATTCAGTGACATGCTAACGTGAGAAAGGTCATCGTCGTCGGGGCAGGGCCGGCCGGCCTCCTCATCGCCCTGATGCTGGCACAGAAGGGCATCTCGGTCACGGTGGTCGAAAAGGGCCACGAGATAGACCGCAACCCCCGCGCCAGCTTCTACAACACGCCGACTATCTACGAGCTGCGGCGGGCGGGGCTGATGGAGGATATCATGAAGAACGCGTTCGTCCCGGACGGCGTGAGCTGGAGGATCCTCGAGTCCGGCGGCGAGAAGACCTTTGAGATGGTCTGCAAGCTGCTGGCGGAGAACCCACCAGGCGGGGAGACCAACATCTCGCTCCCGTTGGACGAGCTCCTGCCGCTCATGGCGGAGCACCTGGCGAGACACCCGAGCGGAAAGGTGTTGCTTAGCCATGAGGTGTTGTCTGTCGGGCAGGATAAGGACAAGGCGTGGGTTGATGTGAAGACGCCAGAAGGAGAGAAGAGGCTCGAGGCGACTTACGTGGTTGGGTGTGACGGTGCGCCTAGCAAGGTTCGCCGCGAGCTGTTCGGCAACGAGTTCCCCGGCTTCACGTGGGACAAGCAGATTGTTGCCACAAATGTAAGCCTCTCCGAAAATGGGGGCCATGCACTGAAAGTCTGAGTGACCCTGACTGACAGTACGTATATAAGGTGTACTACCCAAAGTTCAAAGAGTACAAGGGCTGGACGTCTTCGACCTTCATGATCCACCCGGACCACTTCCCGATGATCGCCCAGCTGGCCAATGACGGCCTGCTGCGCATCACCTACGGCGAGGACGAGGGTCTGACGAGGGAGCAGATGCGGGAGCGGCTTCCGTGGAAGTTCAAGCAGTTTGTTCCCGGGGCGCCGGAGCCTGATGAGTATCAGGTGGTCAACTTCAGCCCGTACAAAATCCACCAGCGGTGCGCCGAGAAATTCAGGGTGGGCAGGGTCTGCCTTGCTGCCGATGCGGCACATGTGTGCAATCCTTTGTAAGTTGTGACTCAACCCGCCCGTTATTCCATTCGCCATGATGATATGGAAGCTGATCCCTTTGTCTGTGAAGCGGCGGAATGGGACTTACCGGAGGCCTTGTTGACGCCGGCAATCTCTTCGACTGTCTATACGGCATAGCCACAGGCCAGCTGGATGACAGCATACTGGACAAGTATTCTGAGATCCGGATCCAGAAATATAACGACATCATCAACCCGATCTCTTCTAGCAATATCCGCAGAGTATGGGATCCTAGCCCAGAGGCGATCAAGGCGGACCCGTTCTTCCAGGCTGTGGAAAGGGCAGAGAAGGACAAGGAATTTGCAGAAGAGATGAAGAAGGTGAGTCTCAGCCTAAACAACCGGAGGTTTACAGTAATGCTCCCGGACTGACAATTTTCCAGGGGCTGTCCGCCGTTATGCATGACTTCACGCAGTACTACAAGCCGCCTGCAGTGCAAAACGGCGCATAAGTACAGAACCTGCTTCGGATTTCCTACCATTATTAGATTATATAAATGCCATCTGATCCAGGAGTACATACGCTCTAAACTTATACGGTTTAGTCTGATTCGTCGTTGAGTGTATCCGCATACCAAACTAGACCACCTACCCTAGGGTAGGTACCTAGGTACGGCTGTAATTGAGAACACCGCTCCGGGGGTTGCATTATTGCTTTGAGTTCCTTTCGTCATACGTTCACGTCGTTGCCCATATCCCAAGTAGCCATTAGTGCATCATGGCATGACCCCCAACAGACCTCCCGCTATCCTTCACACCAAACACACTCGCTACCAATCCAATACCAGCGAGGCCGACGCAGCACCACAGACCCGTCTTGTACTGCAACAACGCTGAATGACCCTTGGCTGTATCGACGGCCTGGACAACGGCACTGGCCAGCGCAAGTCCGACACCGCTCCCGATCTGGAATGCAGTGTTGATCATCCCTCCACACATGCTCTGCACATTCACTGGTACCGAGGCCAGAAGAACGACAGTAATTGTGCAATAAACAATGGTGACGCCGGCAACACTGAGGATGGAGGTTGGGAAGACGTGCTTCCAGAAGCTGACATCCCCATCGGACATGAGGGCGCCCGGGACAGGCGAGATGGCACAGACGACCATGCCCACGACAAGCAGCCACTTGGTGTTGCAAACCTCGAGGGCGCGCGACATGCCCAGGCTGAAGACGAAGCCCGTGCAGCCCATGGGCAGGAACCGGAGGGCCGTCTGGCCCGCGCTGAGCTGATTTATCTCTTGGGCTATGAGGGTGACGAAGTAGATGGTGGTCTGGTACCCGCCATACATGACGAAACCGCCCACCCAGAGGGCGGCGAAGTTCTCGAGCCTCCAGAGGGACAGCGGCATGATGGGGTTGGGGACCTTCTTCTCGACGTAGGTGAAGGCGGCGATCATGGCGACGCTGAGCACGAGCAGCACGATGATGAAGGCCTTGCCCCAGCCGTACTCGCCGCCGCTGGACAGGACGAAGCTCAGCAGGATCAGCCCCGCCGTCGACAAGCCCGCGCCAGCAAAGTCGAGCTTCGGACGGGCCTGCCCTTCCATCCTGTCGCGCGGCAGGACAAAGGCCCCCAGGAGGCCGATGGCGCCCGTGAAGACCACGGCCAGGTAGAAGATATACCGCCAGCCCAGCGACGAGGTCAGGAACCCGCCGAAGACGAGCCCCAGGCAGAAGCCCACGGCGCCCGAGGCACCGAATATGGTCAGGGCCAGGGTGCGGTCGCCGCTGACGAAGTAGTTGGAGATGATGCCGACCGCGCTCGGGACCGTCATGGCCGCTCCTATCCCCTGCAGGGCCCTGAATATGGCCAGCGAGATAAAGCTGGGCGCGAGGCCGTCGGCGAGGGTCCACGCGCTGAGGGCGGCCATGCCCGAGCAGAAGATCATCTTGCGCCCGTACCGGTCCGACAGGACGCCCGCGAGGAGGAGGAACCCGCCAAAGGTCAGCGTGTACGCCGAGATGAGCCACTGCAGGTCGGCGCCGCCGACGCCAAAGTCCCTCTGGATGGCGGGCAGGGCGATGTTGACGCCCGTCATGAAGACGTTGTCCATCAGCTGGGCGCCACAGGTGCAGCCCAGGACCATGGCGCCGCGCCAGGACCGGATGACGCCGATGTCTGGGTAGGCCTGCTGCCCGGCGCCCGTCTCGTACGCTGCGCCGCCCTGGGGTGACGATGGGGCCGTGTCTGTGCCGCCGTGACCGCCAAAGTAGTCTGTCGACCCGGCGAGGCGTCCCCCGGACGGTGTGATCGGGGACGGAGGGCGGGTCGACGACGGCGTGGGCAGGTTGGACGGGACCTCGCGGATGGTGCTCGGCAGCCCCGGCTTGGCGGCTCGGGGCCGCTGGATCATGGGCAGCTCGAATACGTTGTCTGCCGACTCCCGCCTGGTGCGAGAGACCTGTCTGCTGATGGCGGATGCGCTCTGGGTGAGGGCCTCGAGGGCCTCTGCGTCGTCATTGTCGTCCTCTACCGCGTGCGACTGCCTCCTTGCGTCTTCCGAGAATGATACACTCTGCCGGGACGCCGTGCTCCGTCGCCGGATGGGCAGGCCTGGGAACCCGGGAGGGGGGACGAGGGTGGGAACCTCTTCCAGTGCGGAGGTCCGGCGGCCAAGAGATGTGCCATCACCGCCGTCGTGCGAGGCGCGGCTGGTATATTCGACTTCGTGGTTCTTGCCCATCTTGAGAAATCGTCAACAAGGGCTGAGTATATTGTTGAGGTTCGAATGAGCGATAAGGTTCCTCTCCCTTCTCCCTTCTCCGCTCACCCACTACCGGGGCAGCGACAGAGGTTGAGTTTATACCGGCACTGCATATGTTGGCAGCCGTGGGGGGCGGACATCATAGAAAACTCCCAGTGAAGCCATCGTGGGGCGACAGAGACCCGCACCCACGCCCGACCGGTGGAGTGATGTCAAGAGCTCCACATTTTGCTCGCCACCTGGGTCCATTGATATCTTTTTTATCAACACTCACAGGGTCCTGTTGCCCACCACGTCAAGCACATTGGCGGGAACGTTCCTGAAAATTCTAGCGCCAAGTTTTCCACCGCAGGGAAATTCACGGCGAGAATTGCCTAAAGCTTGCTTGTCTTCGGGGCAGACAGAGCTTTGAAACGCCTTGCATGTGATTTTCTGGAATCAACCCATCACTACAGCAACCTTAACCCACCTGCACATCAGAATATTGGCCCTATTGACCATTACATAATGGGGGATCTGTCATGGCTTAATTCTTTTGTTCTTGCTCACATAAAAGACCTTTTGATAACATCGTGTTGGGGACAAAGGCCGGCCCAAGGTCGTTCTACAAGTTCCCCGGGATGTGCATAGTGTGCCCACAATGTCATGGTCCACTTACTGATCAGGTAGATACCCATGACTATACAATCGTATTGTCTTGAACAATAGCATTATTATCATTGGAATGCCTAGGCAAAGTCTTAACTATATCGAACAATCTTCTTGTTGCAGACTCACGACGAAAAAGGTTTTATCAGGTAGCAACTATAAAAGCACACAGCATCTTGGGCATTCCCATCCCATTTTCGCTCCTCCTCACCAACCAAAGCACTGGCACTTGGAAATCATCGACAACCTGAACCCAACACCTCTAGCTAACACCAACAGCAAAAGATTTACCACCATGTCTCAGAAAGCCGTCATTGCCGGAATCATCATTGGTGTGGTCTTCTTGCTGCTCTTTGTGGCAAGTGTCATCGCTTACTGCCTTCAGAAGCGTCGGAGCCGCAAGCAGAAACATAGTGACGAGGAGCACGCACTCCAGAGGGTCTTTGGGCCTCAAACGGAACAGGAGGTACGGGCAGCAACGCGGACGTTGACAATGAATGACAAGATTGAGCGCAGGGAATTCCACTGAGGTGCAGAAAGCCATATTTCTGTTGGAAGGAAATGTCTTTTGTCGGTGTTGCAGGTGAGCCCCCACCCCCCAAGTTTTCTTTTGGTTCAGATAACACATGCAGGTCATATGGAAAGTGTCTAGGTAGGTACCATAATACTGAATTGCTGACCCCCCCCTATTCTAATTCTTAAGGCCCATTACAACTGCTGTGAAGACATTATTTGTAAGTACAGGTATTTTTTCTTTTTCATTTTTCAAATACCGGGTTGTGAGCGTTCATCATGTCTGAATGTGCCTCGTAAAATCTTATGTATGGGCATGAGAAACGAAACCATCACTTATCAGTAGAGGGAAGCGGTGCTGCGTTGCAGGATAATATCTGTTCTTTTACCATTGAACACATGCATGAGTCAATTGAGGGCTCAAAATCCAGAAGATTCGCTTCAATCATCTATGACCAGGATACGTCGAGACCAAAACAATCGAGCCGTAAAAAGCAGCAAAAGGTCAAGATTTTGCGTCAGGCGCTAGACGGGTGGCCTCAGGGTAGCTTGGGGGCTCGTCCAGACTTGTGACTGGTTCGACCTCCTCAAGCCCCGAGGACGACTTGTAATTCGGGACAGGCTCAGAAGAGCCATATCCCTCCAAGTCGGGTTGTGGCGCAGGCTGCACAGTTTCGGGCGTTCCGGTCGCTTTCGCCGTCGCCGGGTGGGACCCGATGCCGCAACAGCCACAGCAGGTAGAGCAGCCCACGATGGACATGACACAGTGCAGTATCCTTGAACGTCTGCTGTTAGTCACGATCATAGTGAACGCTCGTAGGATGCTGAGAATGTTTCGTTGCTGACGCACCAGAAAGCCATAATCATCGTGGCGGCGTGGCCCTGGTATTCTCTCCACGGCGTCTCGTAGTCTGGGGACGTGTAGTACTCCGCCATGGCGAAGTTATACCAGCCGGGGATCCCAAGGCCCACGACCAGCAAGTCGAGGAATATCAGACCAAAGTTCAGAGACTTCGGTCCGTGTCTGTGTCTCGGGGTGAGGTACGCGAGGGTCTCCCACACGGCGACTACCAGGGATACGGCGGCCTAGGGACAACAGCAACCGTTATCAGCTCAACTTTGTGTCCAAACACGCGCATGGAACTTAGACGAAAAAAAAAAAAAAAAAGACAAGAAACGGAAAGGGCTTCTCACCATACTCAGCGCCAGCGCGCTCTGACCCAGGGCGTCCTTCTTTGTGGCGTTGGGGTCCTCATCTTCTGGCACGCGGGTCGCCCCCTGCCATGTACGCACATAGTGCACCAGGTATGCGATGAGGGCGATTCCGAAGGCGGCTACGGGGATGCGCAGCACGATGAGCTGCCAGAAGTATCCGTCTCGACGTCGTTGGCGCGGCTTGTTCGAGACATCTGTGGTTTCCGTCGCCGGGGAGTTCGCGTTTCCATCAACACCGCCCATTTTATAGATCTTGGCTGATCGGGCTCTTTGAATCGGCTGCAGCGTACTGCTCGCGGATTTCGAACAAACGGCCGTGCCAGTGGAGGTGGTCTCAACTGTCCTGGTGGCTTTCTTTTGCAGATCAGAGGGTTGAAGAGACGCCGATGGATTACGAAGAGGAGCAGGCTGAAGTGGAGTGCAGCTAGGTGAAGTTATGTAAGGCAGCAGGATAGAATGACGCCCGCATGCCCAGGCGCCGTCTTGATCGTTACGACGACGCACAGGCTGTATCGGGGCATAAGCAGCGCGAAGGATCAAGCGAGTCTTGGCTCAGCCACACCCAGACAGCGGTTCTGCCTGTCTAGCAAATCACCGTCCAAGCTCTGTCATAGCTCACTGCTCTCAGGCCAACACCGGGAATCAGAGGTGGTGTGTGGTACACGAATCACCCTGATTTGGAGCTGGGCATGAGGCCTCATCTGCAGCTTACTCACGCCCGGCCAAGACTCACGTGCGGCCGCGTATGCACGCATCACGATCATTGAACAGTAGGGCCCCAACTTTCCCTGCCGGCTGAGCCTACTAGTAATTCCCTATCAATCCCGGGCTCGAACCCGACGGCGCAGGAAGCTACTCAATTCGTCAGGGCTTAACTGTTTCCGCTTCTATTCCACATACGTCCGGAGCCATACACGGCGCCTACATACACTGGTAAACAATCAAAGACCCAGCATTCAAAAGAAACATACAATCGATTACCACCGTATGAAGGCGCCATGTATATATATCCTCGGACGTATACGGAATAGAAGCGAAACCACATAGAATTATAGTTAGAGTAATAATAGCTTTTATATTTACTTATTTTAAATAACTTAGAAGGCCTAATGTATGTAGTAATTTAGTATTTTTTTATATAACCGATTATGGGCGAAGAAACGACTAATAAGAGGCACCTGGATAATGACTTGCTCCCTTCTTGTCACGGTCCAGTGCTAAAGCCTGTGACTGAGCCTATAAACGACTAGGAATAACCAATTCGACGAATTGGTTATTGTGGCGTTTCGGCCGGGGCGTCTGTTACGATAGTATTTAGCAGGTCCGTCTCACGTCACGTCTCGTCCTCACGAACCCAGGGACGACAAAAACGAGAAGGATGTTCTTTTATCTGGTTCTCGGGTTCCGGAGCGAATAGCTCCAGTCCTCCGGGCCAATCGGGAGTTTATGGGACTCGGAGCACAGATGTTGTGTTTATGCTCACAAACAACAGGTCATTTGACCCCGCAGGCGACGTTGCCTCGCCCATTGGTTATTAGTTATGGATTGGAGGCCAGGGAAGCAAGAGTGGACGTTTGTGCTGTCCGTTACCTCGTGTTTCGCCTCGGCTTCCACGCTATTATCGGAATCTCAGGGCTGGCTTGGCTCTTTAGATCGGCGTATGGAATATGCATTATCTTCGCCCATTTGGACATTGCAACACCCGAGAAGGGCGAGATACAATGGGATGTGGTCCTAGATTCTGCCTGGATGGAAAATGCGTGTTCACGCGGAAAAGTCGGGAATGATAAATTGTGAAAAGAAGTGGCCAATGGGCAATGTGTGTTTAAATTCCTCAAAGTCGGCTGCGCCAGAACCTCCAATACTTATGATACCATGCCTCCTGGTACGTACAGTGCGTCTCACGTCCCTTGTCATCCGTCCATCTGTAGACGCTATCTACAAACATGGCGTTGGGCCAGGCCGGCAGCTGGGCCACGGCTATCGCCTGGCCCTTGAGCCTATAGATCTCCCCCTTGTCGTCTTCGATCTCCATCTCCTGCTTGACGGCCGATCCCAGAACGGGGTGGTAGGCCAAGACCTTCCTCTGGACCCTGACCACGTTGCGCACGTCGTGCTCCCCCCTCACCAGCCAGGCGAACGTCGTCGTAGGCTTGTCCTTTGGCCAGGGGAATATGCTCAGCCAGGCTGGGTTCTGGCCGGGGTCTTCGAATCCGGCCTGGTTGAAGCAGAAGTCCGGCCCGAAGGATATGGGCGACCAGCCATAGGGCGGGGACACGATCTCATCCTCGGTCCTGACCTGCCGGATCGAGCGGTCCCTGGCCGCGTGGCAGTTGACATTGTATGTTCTTCCGTGAATCGTTAGGCTGCCCGTGCACTTCATCAACTGTTCGAGCCCTGTCGGGTTCTGCGACGGGTTCGTATTCTTCTCTTCTCCCGGCATGACGTAGCCTCGTGGAAGCATTGGATGGAGAGCAGTCTGCGTGACATCAAAGTGCGTCTCGCCGTCCTTGCTGCGGTACAACAGGCGAACTTTGTTGCCAGGCTCGAGGAAATCGAACGTCATACCATTGGCGATGTGAATCACATTGCCCTCGACGGTTGGCCAGGGGACAGTGTTGATGATGTTATTGTGCTCGCAGTCCAAGGGCCGCAGGTTGTCCATTCCCTTGAAGACGGACACTCCGGCAAGGCAGGTCTTAAAGTAAGGTTGGGCGCGGACGTAAATGAAGACTCCGATTGTATTCTCCGGGATGCTGAATCCAAAGTAGTGGGTGTGTATTGTGTGCGGGTCCCAGCTCTCGCCTGGACCTGGCTCGGGGAAGATGAGATCCATCTCTGGAGGAAGATACTGTTGTGGTCCTTCCATAGCTTATACAGAGGCTTTGAAACAGATTTTCTTTTGGCTGTGTTTAACTATCTGCCATGTAAAATTGTATCGGACAGTAAGGTCCTTGCTCAAGTAAGGTAAGCACGCAAGGTATAATTGGCCACAGGCGGAGCAAAAGAACATCTGAGATATCTCCGTCTTTTGTAGTTCCTCGACCAGAAACCCGTCTCGACTGGAGATGGGCAAGGATCTGGCATCCGGAACCGGGCTCGGGGGCTGGACAATTCATACATCCGCGGGCAACGTGGGACTCAGCTCCGAGCATACCTAGGCATGGGGCTCTCACATCATTTGCCAAGCGTTAGTATGGATTGATCTGGTCTGACTTCACTTTTAACCTTAACCAATTGAGCAGGACGTAATCTGAAATCACGGCCTCAGGATTGCAATCATGAAAATCAACCCAACCTCGCAATGTCTGTCATTGATAATTCGTTCACTGGACCAGATCATTCTGCCAGAACTGACCTCTAAAGCCGCAACTTCGGCTGGAGCCCAAATCAAGCTCCAATTGGAGGACCTCCTCAAAAGACAGGGAGAAGGAATGATGCTTCTGCGGGACCTCATCGGGAAGGGAAATGAGCTAGCCGCACGAGCATCGACACTGCTGGAGGATCCCTTTATCGCGCACAGGTCGACCCGTATCATCCTTGTCAGCCGACAAGTTGGAGGCTTTGATGTTCTTGCAGAACAACATGCTAAACTCACGGCACTGATCGACGAAGCATGCCGAAGCCTGTGCCGTCTCACATCGACTAGCGCTGAAGCTTCCAAGCTCTTGCAGGAGATGGCCATCTGGGAATGGTCATACTATGATGGGATGGCTGCGGTAAGGCCGAAACTATTCGAGGATAGTGACCCCCTTTCATCCCGGGAGAGAACCCTGCAAGGTCTGCATCGCAACAACGGTCCGCCCTTGAGTGAAGAGTTTCTGGAGGGCTTCCTCACGCAGCGCCATGGTCCGACAAAGGTCAGGTCTCTCGGCTTCTTACCGGGTGGTTTTGGGAAGCAGACATACTTCAGCACCGTAACTTGGCAAGACGGCCGGACCGAAGAACTCGTCATCAGGAAGATGGATCCGGTCCCTATTATGCTGCATCGGCAGTTCCTGCTGGACAGAGAGTTTGATCTGGTTAGTCTTGTACACAAGACAGGTTTCATCTGCCCACAGCCTATGGATCTAGGATGGGACGTTCCCGGTGTGGACGGCAACTTCTACACCATGAAGCGCATGCGCGGGGAGATCCCAGGAAGCTTTCTCGAGGGGAATAAGGAGGCCATTCCAGAGTCACTGCTGTTGCACTGCGCCGAGCTTCTTGCTCAGCTGCACAAGACGCCCCTGAAACCATTCCAGGATCACATAGAGAGATTCGACGGCCCAGGCGCGACCAATGACACGATCGAACAACGAATGCGCAGGCATCTCGGCAGCTGGGACAAGTACCGCGCAGAAACTGAGCTCCTCCCGTCGCCCTTCCAGACTTTCGTGTTCGACTGGCTGCGGCGCAATGTACCGCGTGACACGCGGTGGCCGGTCCTGCTCCACGGGGACTTTGGCATACACAATATGCTCTCTGTGGGCGACCGCATCACGGCCGTGTTGGACTGGGAATGCTCCGACTTTGGGGCCCCGGAGCAGGACCTGGAGTGGATTCGGCCCAGCGTCTCGGAGCACATGGACTGGGCCAGGTTCCTCGCGCACTACCACGCGTGCGGCGGGCAGGAGGTGCGCGAGGACGTGAGGGCCTTCTACGGCATGTGGGGGATGGCGCGGCCCTTCCTGTCCCTTGGGAGGGCAACTCGGAACCTCCAGACAGGCGCGAATAAGGACATTCGATATGTCATGTGTGAATTGGGCTTCACTGGTGCCTTTTTCAAGATGATGCTGGGCGTGATTGCACCCAAAGAGGAACAGGAGGAAACGCCAGTAAACAGAACCCCAAAGGGAGCTGGCAATGGCGCGCAAGCCAAGCTATGATATCTGTGATGCGGTCTGGGTAGCCGCTTCCTGAGTGGCACCCTGTAGTGAAATATATTTACAAGTGAATCAAGATGCTCTGAATGATCGGACGATAATCTGTGACTCGGGTGCTCGCTGGGTACTTAACTGCTATATTTCTAGCACGTCCGACTTCATCCATGGATACGTTCTTTAACCAACTTTCCGAGACTCAGATCCGGCAGTGCATCTGGACATCCACAAATAACGAGTCAGCTCGTCCTTAAACACCATGTCTCAAGACCTTAGCAATCAAAGATCGTCCGTGGATCTACGGAAGCTTGATCGCCCCGACACGCGCCCGCTGCTACATCCCAGCTGGACACCAGAGGCAGAACCTCGTCAGTACATGCGTTTGCGCTGCATCTATCTCCAAAGCCCTTCGACCAACACGAATACTCCAAGCATCCGACGTAGTGATATTGAAGACTTGAGGAGGATCTGGTTGAGCAAAAGATATGGCCACAATTCAAAATCGAGGTTGCTGCGTGGGCACTGGAGGATTGGCAGGGAGCAACAGTTTGGCGACAGGGTCACCTGCCCCCTTCTCCAATACAGATCTGCTGCAGTTTGTCTGGTATGTGAATGGGGACCTGTTGTGTAAGTGGACGCTGATGCCTTTAGCTGGTGTGCTACAACTTGAACTAATCGTGACAAAGAATCAAACCCGCTGATATTTACGATATCCTCGGCTTGTGCCTGCAGCAAATCCAGGGCCCACAGATGCCAAACTGTAGGGGGAGCTTGGAATTCGAATCGCTGGGTCTACGGCTGCAGTGGCTTCTTCTTCCTGTCGAATTGGTATCAGCCAGAGGCCTGCGGGTCCAAGTCGAACATCTCGAGGCGCTCATGGCTCGAAATTGGCAGCAAAAATGTGAAGTGACCCAGATTCAGATTCTGGCTGAATTCGAACGCCGGATGAGACCAGGACATTTACGAAGGTTCATGAATCTTCTACTTGAGTATGGAGTCGATTGGGAACAGACATTCAATGACCCAGACTTTGACGAAAATCCACCTGATGGCTATGAAGCGTTGCTCGATGAAGAACTGAAGATGCTGCTCAGCCTTGCCTCGGATGGAACTACTAGACGATGTCCCCTTCCTCTCAGGATTGATCAATGAGAGGCTTCAGAAACAGACAGTACTGGATTGGAAGGAGGTGAGACAATTGAACCTACTAACTGCTAGTATAATAGACTGCTCTTCTAAAAGACCGTTCTGGTGCAGACCGTAGGGGGTGCCTCATTCTGGTAAATCAGCTTACAAAAGCAGGCCGAACGTGTGCTTACCCTGAATGTTTGCCCTAGCCTTGTATAGGTAGTCCTTCTTTTAGACAATACACACTAAATACAACTTTACTTAACTACACTCTAATAACTCCTAAACTTCATTTTATCCCTTATTATACTTTATTATACTTTATTATACTTTATTATACTTTATTATACTTTATTAATTATATATAATAATAAAATTAATATACTTTTTTATTATTTTATTATAAATTATTTTAAAATTATTTTTTAAAAGTTTTAATATTTTATTATAAAAGTATTAAAAATAATATATTAAAAATTATTATTATATTTTAAAAATATTTTATTATATAAAATTAATAAATTTAATAAAATAATAAATTTAAAAGAATTATATTTTATAAAGAAATATATTTAAAATAAATATAATTATTTTATTTTATTTTATTTTATTTTTAAAATATAATATTTATAATAATTATTATATAAATAAAGAATAAAGAATTTTATTATATAATATAAAGTTATTAAATTAAAAATTATAATAAATATTTTATTAAATAAATATTATAATAATTATTTAAAAATATAATAAATTTAAAATATAATTTATAAAATAATTTTAAAAATATAATAAGTTTATTTTTTAAGTTTATATTTTATTATTATTAATAATAAATTTCTTAATAATATAAAAATATATAAAGAAAGAAGTATTTAAAATTCTTTTATAAAAGGATTATAAGAATATATATAAAGTTATTAAAACTTTTATATAAACTTTAAAAAATAATTAAATAAAAGATACTTATATAATATAAAGGAAAAGTATAATATAATTAAAGTTATATTATATTTATATACTTTAATTTAAAAGAATATTAAAGAATACCTACCTTTAATAAGTATATATCTATTATAAGTATCCTATAGTTATTATATAAGCACGGGCTGTTTACTATTATAAAAGTTTAGGGAGTGAATTTTCAAGCTAACTATTTATCTCTCCTAGAATCTACATAAAGTGATTGGTATTAAGTGTATTCTACGTATTATTAGTGCATTTAAATGACAAATGATACCCATTATGTTGTGTATTTGCAATATTTTATTGCTCATGGGCCAAAATTGGAAGCGGTCCCAAGTAGGGTGGATGTTCATCTACCGAGGCAGTGTCCATACTGTGATACATGTGTACAAGTGAGGTGATACTTGGTCCAATGGATGTACTGATTCATCTTCACTGACGTAGCTTGAGTTTGTTTCCTCCCTCTTCAATCTCCAGGTGCCTCCCCCCGCGCCGACCTCTTCCATTTGACCCTTCCATAACGTCCGTCAAAGGCTGTCGGCCTTCTTTCCTAGGATGGACTCAACGGGCCGAGCTCAAGATAGTCATGGAGGAGCTTCTTCCGAATATGTGCCTCAATTACAAGCCAAAAGCTCCGCAGGCGGAGTTGGGAGCCACCTGTCTCAACGCCGATCACACAATCTAATCATTCCCACCAGTAAATCCCCTGGATGCGGACTCTGTCGAATTGAACAAGACTGGGTCGAGTTCCCGAGCCTATTAAACCTGGAGGACCTCTTCAATGGAGAACCAGATTGCTATTGGTATCATTTATTCATACGGGCTGTACGCAAATGCGCTCCGTCCCTACTACAAGACACATGTGTGTTCCGAGACATAGGATGCTCTTGGGAGTCATATGAGAGTCAGCTTCATTTGTCTCATTTACGGCCAGGTGGCCACGCTCAGATCTTCCTGCGAATCCAATTGTTTTGCGTTGAAGGTACGTCCAACCGTTCTTTTGCGACTTGCGTAGATTGAACGCTCCTGAAAACATCTTACCGAGGTACCTGTACCCTTTTTGTTTCAACAATCAGACTAGAAGGAGCCCCTGCGTCGAACATCCACACTAACTTGTGTATCTGAATAGGAGAGGAGGAACTCATTCATCCGCTGACTCAGCATCCTCGACAATCAGATTCTTTGAAGAGCCCGCCTTCAAAATGGGCAGACTTCCACCACAAAAAAGGAAATGATGGCTCGCATAAAAACATTGAACAGGCCATAAATTGGTTCAAGATGTGCAAAGAAGATCACCCCCATTGTCGTCCAAAGGTTCCAGACTTTCTGCCATCAAGGCTACTAGATATTGGCGGTCTCTGTGATGAATCTCACAGCGTCTCGAACATCCGTTTAGTAGACACGGAAACTCTAAACAGGAAGAAGACGATTGAGTATGCCTGTCTGAGCCACTGCTGGGGAGGTGTCGAGCCAGTGTGTATCTCAACGACAGAGACAATCAACGATAACAAGAACAACATACCTTGGTCAAGGGTTCCCAGAACCTTTCAAGATGTCATAAAAGTTGTGAGAGATCTTGGATTACAATATCTGTAAGCAATGCTTTGTTCTTAAGTCTACAGGAAACAGATAAGTCAGGTTGTGTTAATTCACCCACCCCTGTATGGTCTCGAGATTTTGCGCGAGCCCCACAGACCCCACGAGACATTGTGCTGGTTGTCATCTTAACAAATCCACTTCCCCCTTATGGAGGGATCATTGCCTAGCAAGTTCCACAGAAGGGGAGGACGGAGCCCATATGGAGAAATTACGCGCCATGTCAACAAAAGCAATGTCTCAAAGAGTCTTAAAGTATTATAGATCCACTAATTATGCTTGTTCCAGGTGGATTGATAGCCTCTGTATTATCCAAGGCAGAAGTACAGAAGCCGTGAAAGACTGGCTGAAAGAGGCAGCCCTCATGGCAAAGATATACTGCAACTCTACAATCACAATAGCAGCAGTAAGCTCCGTCAACTGCTACGCTGGCCTTTATCGCACCGATACGTCACGCTTCCATGCGGTTGAGCTTACTCTTATTGATTCCCCTGATATGAACTACCGTAAGTGCTGGCACAGGGAACACACTGACACCGCGCAGCTCACGGGCACACCTTTTGAGCGAGTCATTGCTCAGATCCGCGGGACGGAATGGTATGGTAAAAATGACGCTTTGACGATGTGGGATGCAGTACCACCCCTTGCTAGTCGAGCTTGGTTTTTCCAGGAGTGGCAACTTTCCTCGAGGATCCTGCACTTTGACCTTGGAGAAATTGTATGGCAATGCCACCGTGGATACATAAGCCAGTCACACGCGGCCATTAGCCAGAGCTTCCAACGTACCCAGACATTAATACCGAACTGGCATGAAACGGTCAAGAGATATTCCAAGCTGGACCTCACCTTTCATCGGGACAAACTTCAAGCACTCTCAGGTGTGGTGAAGCGCACATGGCAATACAAGCGAGGTTATACTTATGCAGCGGGGCTCTGGCACGAGTCCATGCCATGGGATTTGGCCTGGATTATCGAAAGTCACAGGAGATCGCCTAAACCTGAAGAATTTGCGGCACCATCATGGTCATGGGCGTCAGTTCAAGATCAGGTGAATTACGAGTGGCATTGGGACAGCAAGGAATACAAGCTAAACTGCGTCTTCCAAGACTTCCAATGCGTTCCTCAAGGAGAGGATCCTACCGGAGCTTTGAACTCTGCGAGTCTGACCATCATGGGCTTGATGTGTCCTTGTGAACTCTATTACGGCGATACACTTCCCACATTTGACTGCGTGGAAGGAGTTTATCGTGTCCTCTTGTACGACTCTGATGGGAACAGCAAGGATTGGGTCGAGTTTTTCAGTCCTGACTATGCCC